CTGCCCCCCAAAGCAATTCCAACTAAAAATAAAGCTTCTTGTCCAAAGATTTTGGCGACGCCTGGGACCATATTTCGTACCCAGTACATGTCTGAACGCGGGTTTGGGACATGTATGGGACGCGGGTGGCGCTGTGGGTTAAACCACAGAGCCTGGGACTTGCCGATCAGAAGGTTGGCAGTTCGAATCCCCACAACGGGGTGAGCTCCCGTCGCTCGGTCCCAGCGCCTGCCAACCTAGCAGTTCAAAAGCACGTCAAGTGCAAGTAGATAAATACCTTCCGGCGGGAAGGTAAACGGCGTTTCCGTGCGCTGCTCTGGTTCGCCAGAAGCGGCTTAGTCCTGCTGCCCACATGACCCGGAAGCTGTACATCAGCTCCCTCAGCCAGTAAAGCGAGATGAGCGCCGCTTCCCCAGAGTCGGTCACGACTGGACCTAACGGTCAGGGGTCCCTTTAACTTTACATGTCTGAAGCGAATGGAGTTTGCTGCTTCAGGTGGGGCCAGAGCGAAGGGACGACCCAGAGATCTGGGGCCATATCCCACCTGAGGGAAAAGGTCTTCAAAATCAAATATCCCTGGGCTATTTATTTTTTCCCTTTTAGGGCAGCAGACACGGCGTTCGTTTAAAACAATGCCACAAAGCACAAGAGGATACAGCAGAGAATTCAGCGTGGAACGGGTCCAAATTCAGAGCGGAGGGCTGTTTAAATGCCTTGGAGGGAGATTATAGAATTGTGGAGTTGGAAGGGGGCGCCGTGGTCATCTAGCCTGACCCCCCCCCCGTTTATTTACCTATTGTTTGTTTCGTTTGGCAAAACGCGCCTACCGCTCGATGTTGAGGAGAAGGGAAAGGTCTCAGAGAGGCTTACAGAAAGGATAAAGTGATAAGAGGATGGGTAAAAGCAGCTTTTTTAAAAAACATTTAGGAATAATGGACGAAAGATAATTCAGCATCAACAATAAGCTAAAAAAACACAGATTAAAACACGTGTCAACGGCCTACGTGTCTTAAACAGGCTTGCCTAAACTAAAATATTTAAAACAGGCACCCCAAAAAGTGTGGAGCCTGACATCAAGTGGCAGGGAGTTCCAAAGTTATTTAATTTGCATCCCGATATATATATATATATATAACAGCATATCTGTTGGGGAAGACTTCTCACAGCGGCCAGCCAGATGCCCCAAGGGGAAGCGTAAAAGCAGGACTCGAACACAGGATCTGAGCCTCGTTCCACCTGCTGTTTCCTGCTGGTGGTAGAATATAGCCATTGCAATTATTATTATTATTATTATTATTATTATTATTATTATTTAATGCCCTTCATCCGAAGATGTCAGGGTGGTTCACAAGATTGAAATACAGCATAAAAGCACAAATAAATAGTTAAAACAATAGCCCCTCTCTCCCACATTTAAAAATCTATGGAATATTAAAAAGACACAAGCCGGCTTGGAGAGGAACGTTTTCGGCTGGCCCCTAAAGATGTCGAATGAAGGTGCCCGGCTGTCCAAAGCCATCTCCTCTTCCGTGAATTGGTCCGGTCCTCTTTGAAAGCCATCTAGGTTGTCTTCCTGTGGCAGGGAGTTCCATAGTTGAACAACGCTGAACGAAGCATGAAAAAGGTCTCTTTTTTAAATCTTCCAACGTTCACGAGTTCCAGTGTTGCCAGAGAGGGAGGCAAACTCTTTCTCGGTCTCTATGCAAGGCCTAATTTCACGGATTTTGGCTTTTTCTCTGAAACCAGAAATTCCCAAACGCCGCAACCGCTCCCCGTTCCCTCGATCATTTGGGTCGGCCTTTTCTGGACCCTTTCGCAGCTCTGGTTTGTGGGCTGCCACCGGCAATCCGTACGCCGAGCGAAAAGAAGGTCAGCAACATATTCATCTCCCCACTTTGGAGACCCCTCCCCTCCTGCGAAACATCTGGCAAACAGCTGGACCACCCAGAATTTCTCCTCGAAACACCCACAGCAGGGCGAGGGCTCACCGCAGCAATCCTCAACCGGGTGCCCTCCAGATCCTTCAAACATCAGCGCCCGTCGGCGGCGCCCGCTGTACTACAACTCCCATCATCCCCTGCTGGCTGGGGTTGATGGGAGTTCTGGTCCAAAATATCTGGAAGGGGAAAGGCTGGTTTACTGTATTGAAACGACTCAAAGGCCACCCAGTGGTTTTCACAGACCTGCCAATCTTCACGCAACAAATAACCATCGAGTTGCATGGGAATTGCAGGGATCTTTGGCCCAACATGGGTCTCGAACCCACAACCTTGAGATTAAGTGTCCCGTGCTGTAATTAACCAGTGGAACTCCCTGCCACCAGATGAATTGTCCCACAAATGGTATACACCTTCAAATCAGGATCGGAGAAATCCGTGGAGGAGAAAGAGAGGAATATCCGCGGCTCCTGGACAGGATGGCTGTGCGCTGACCTCCATGGTCAGCGGCAGCGACGCTCCTGGATTCCAGCTTCTGGAAACCGCAGAAGGCAATTGCGGGTCTTGTGTTCGAATCCTGAATGCTGGCTTTCCCACAGGTTGGCCACTGTGAGAATGGGCCGTCGGCCTGATCCTGGCATTTCTAAACATTGACTGGAGCGGGTGGGAGCTGGAGTCCCAACAGCAGTGCGGTGTAGCGGTTAGAGTGCTGGATTAATAATAATTTTATAATAATAATAATTTATTATATATACCCCGCCCATCTGGCTGGGCTTCCCCAGCCACTCTGGATGGCTTCCAACAAAATATTAAAATACCATAATGCCTCAAATATTAAAAGCTTCCCTAAACAGGGCTGCCTTCAGATGTCTTCTACAAGTCTGGTAGTTGTTTTTCTCTTTGCCATCTGGTGGGAGGGCGTTCCACAGGGCGGGCGCCACCACCGAGAAGGCCCTCTGCCTGGTTCCTGTAACCTCACTTCTCGCAGGGAGGGGACCGCCAGAAGGCCCTCGGTGCTGGACCTCAGTGTCTGGGTAGAACGATGGGGGTGGAGACGCTCCTTCAGATATACTGGGCCTTTGAGGCCATTTAGGGCTTTCAAGGTCAGCACCAACACTTTGAATTGTGCTCGGAAACGTACTGGGAGCCAATGGAGGTCTTTCAAGACCAGTGTTATATGGTCTCGGCAGGCGCTCCCAGTCCCCAGTCTAGCTGCCGCATTCTGGATTAGTTGTAGTTTCCGGGTCACCTTCAAAGGTAGCCCCACGTAGAGCGCATTGCAGTAGTCCAAGCAGGAGATAACCAGAGCATGCGCCACTCTGGCCAGACAGTCCACAGTCCAGATTGGGTTTCATCCTGCATACCAGATGGAGTTGGTAGACAGCTGCCCTGGACACAGAACTGACCTGCGCCTCCATGGAGAGCTGTGATTCCAAAATGACTCCCAAGCTGCGCACCTGGTCCTTCAGGGGCACAGTTGCCCCATTCAGAACCAGGGAGTCCCCCACACCCACCCGCCTCCTGTCCCCCAAAAACAGTACTTCTGTCTTGTCAGGATTCAACCTCAATCTGTTAGCTGCCATCCATCCTCCAACCTCCTCCAGACACTCACACAGGACCTTCACCACCTTCACTGGTTCTGATTTGAAAGAGAGGCAGAGCTGGGTATCATCCGCATACTGATGAACACCCAGCCTAATGCGAGGGGAACCAGGTTGCCCAAAGTGAAACACACGTGTGTGGGGTGGTGGTTGTTTTTTTGGAGGGGATGCTATGAGTCACGATTCCCTTTCCTTTGGCCCCACCCTCTTTCCCATCTGTTCCCCTCAGGAAAGGCGGGCGGGGGGGAGGGGCCGAGTGGAAACCGCTAATTAAGACCTTGGTGCGTCTAATTAACGCTCTCCCCTTGCAGCGAATTAATTAGGCTCCAGGTTGCCATGGAAATGGGATGTGACCTAGAAACGCAGGCCGGGGCTTGAGGAGAGGGTCTGCCCTTTTTTCGCATCTCCCCCCTCCCCCAGGGAGGCATGGTTCGGGGGCACAGCGGGTCACAGCCCCCCAAGCCCTTTCACCTTATCCCAGGGGCCGAAGACGGGCTGAGGTGTCGCGGGGGACGGAAACAGGGACATAAAACACCAGAAAAATCCAAAAATGAGCACCCCTCCATTGGCTAAGCTTCAACCATCGTCCTTTCATTCATCTCTGGCCTGGGACCCAGCTCACCTGCGGACCCCAAACACACCTGCCCCACCAGTTCCCTGGTCATCGGTTTGTGGGATTTGGGTCTGGGGTCCCGCCGGGATCCTGGATCTCGTTGCAATAGCGCCTCGTAACCCTACTGATCTGCTGGGGTTCCCAGCCAAAGCCGCATTCGCACCCTGTCTTTAAAGCGCCATGGCTTCCCAGAGAATTCTGGGCGTTGTAGTTTCCGAGGGAAAACCCTTTTGTTCTTCCCCTTGCAGGCCTGCAATTCCCAGAGTTCCCTGGGAAGGGACATGTAGTGTCAAAATTGGCTTCCCCCAAGGAATCCTGGGAGTTGCGGTTCGGTTAAGGGTGGTGGGCGTCGTGAGGTGAGCCCCCTCTCTGAGCTACAGTTCCCAAAGTGGCTTAACAAATCCACTCCTATTTTCAAGGGATGGAGGACCGTAGCTGTGTAAGGGGAATAGGGGTCTCCTCAGGGTGCTCAGCACCCTTAACCCTTCACGCAACTTGACTCCCAAAGGCCCAACAATTTCAGGGGCCCCGTGAGCGCCTGGTTTCGAGAACTCACGCTGCCTGTTCCCCCGTGTTCCCATCCCATTCACCTCCCAGCCCTCCTCAGCTACCGATTCCTGCTCCGTATTCATGGACTCTCAGAACCGCAGAGTCGGAAGGGGGTCTCCCAAAGGTCATCCATCCCAACCCCCCCGCCATTCGTGGAACAGCAGCACACAGAGAGGAGCTGGCGTGTCTGCCGCGCGCTAGGGGAGAACCTCTCCGTCCTTCTTCCCAAAGAGGAACGGCGAGAGGCCGTCGCGGAGGTCCCAGCCTCACAGCACCCATCTTTCCCTTCTCGCCCCGCAGATATCCGGGACAGCGGCAAGAAACCGGTGATGCTGTTCATCCACGGCGGATCCTATATGGAGGGGACCGGGAACATGTTCGACGGCAGCGTCCTGGCCGCTTACGGGAACGTCATAGTCGTCACCATGAATTACCGGCTCGGCGTGCTGGGTAGGGGGGCTTCGCTGGGGTGGGCTGGGGGAACGGAGCCCAAAATCTTGACTTCTTTCTCTTTCTCTTTCTCTTTCTCTTTCTCTTTCTCTTTCTCTTTCTCTTTCTCTTTCTCTTTCTCTTCCTCTTCCTCTCTCGTTTCCCCTAACATACCATGTTTTTTGCTCTATAAGACTCACTTTTTCCCTCCTAAAAGGTAAGGGGAAATGTGTGTGCATCTCATGGGGCGAATGCAGGCTGCGCAGCTATCACAGAAGCCAGAACAGCAAGAGGGATTGCTGCTTTCACTGCACAGCGATCCTTCTTGCTGTTCTGGCTTCTGAGATTCAGAATATTTTTCTTCTTCTTTTCCTCCTCCAAAAACTAGGTGCGTCTTGTGGTCTGGTATGTCTTATAGAGCGAAAAATACGGTACATAAGTGTGAGAAGGGAGCAATAAAACCTCCGCATAAAACCTGGTTTCGTTTTCCTCTGCTGTTCTCGCGTTGTGTGCGTGCCACCGGCTTGAAGCGTTCATTTTGCCTCAATTCGGATCGAGACTGGTTTGGTGGGGAGGGCAGGAACGGACGCCTAAAAATGCAGCGCTTTCTAAGAAACGGCCGGATAGTTAAAAACAAATTGCAGCCGACAACTCGTGTATAGTGCAATGCAAATTTCAGTCTATTGTCATGTTATAACTTTTCTAAAGTTTTAAAGTGTTGTTGTTGTTGTGGGCAATTTCCGTGCTGGTAATTTTGTCGTTTTCTCTCTTCTTCTTCTTTTGTAAACTGGTTTGAGCTTGTTGCTTTTAACAACCAAGCAGTGTATAATTTTTAACTGAAATCAAATGAAATAAATACACGAGACACAGCGGGCCGGATGCAGAGGCGGTGGGAAGATGTGTGGGAAAGCCTTTGGGTGTCTTGGTTCCTGCCTCTCCTGCGAAGGACGTATTTTGAAAAATCGGAGAAATGAAAACCGGTGTTGCGTTCTGGAAGTCGTGCGCGGCGAGAGAAAAATCTGGCCTCCTGTTCTGATCTCGGAACAGTTCTGTACACGGTTCCGTCTGCGGCCAATCTGTTCCCTGCCCGTATGCCAAAAAGTAAAGCAAGGTGTTTTGTTGAAACATATTTCTTTCTGCTCCAAATTGACCCTCATGGATATCCAAGCCATGATGCACCTTTGCCCTGGACTTAAATTAGCTGTGACAGCTCAGTTGGTAGAATCTTGATCCCAGGGTTGTGGGTTCGAATCCCATGTTCGGCTAAAGATTCCTGCATTGCAGGGGGTTGGAATAGATGACCCTCGGGGTCCCTTCCGACTCGCCAATTCCGTGATTCCGCTTGTACGTTCGGATAAGCGTTATGTGCACAGGAGAGCCGTTAGGAACATAGGAAGCTGCCGAATCAGACCTTTGGGGTACCTACGGGACCGCCTCTCCTGGTATGTCCCACGGAGGACCTTACGGTCTTCAAACAAAAACATCTTGGAGGTCCCAGGCCACAGGGAGGTTAGGCTGGCCTCAACCAGAGCCAGGGCCTTTTCGGCTGTGGCTCCAATCTGGTGGAACGCTCTGTCACAAGAGACTAGGGCCCTGTGGGACTTGACATCTTTCCGCAGGGCCTGCAAGACAGAGCTGTTCCACCAGGCCTTTGGCCAGGGCACAGTCTGACCCCCTCCTTTGGCAATCTTCACAGAACTTTAGCCTAATGGTTGCCATCAATTTGAGTTGAATTAATTTTAGAATGAAATGATTTTAGAATGTTGTACTATTTTATTGTTGTTAGCCGCCCTGAGCCCAGCTTCGGCTGGGGAGGGCGGGATATAAATAAAATTTATTATTATTATTATTATTATTATTATTATTATTATTATTATTATCCACACTGACTGGCAGCAGTGACCCTCCAGGGTTTCCGGCAGGTGATATTCTGAGGGACTGGACCTGGAACCTTCTGCCGGCAAGGCAGCGCTACTCCCTGAGCTATGCCCAAGTGCCCTTAAAATAACACAAGATTCTAGCCCTCTTTGCTCTGAAGGAATGGCTGCAGTAAATAGGAACATAGCAAGCTGGAGTGTTACTGGAGGGGGGGGGACACATTGTGCTCCTTCTGGGGTAGTTTGTCCACCTTTTGGCCCCATGCCTGCACTCAGCTCTCGCTTGTGGCTCCTGGAAGCGGTCAGTGTGCGACAGGGGCCACACCCTGGGAACGGCTGCGACTGGCCGGCTGAACCAGGCGAGGGGAGCCGACGGGTCTCAAACTAACTCTGTGAGTTAGGGACTCTCTCTGCATGCGGAGACAGACTCTGGCAGATGTAGCAGACAAGACCAGGAGTGGCTCCAATGGTCCTGAAAGACCCACATTGGCTCCCAGTACGTTTCCAAGCACAATTCAAAGTGTTGGTGCTGTCCTTGAAAGCCCTAAATGGCCTCAAAGGCCCAGTAGACCTGAAGGAGCGTTTCCACCTCCATTGCTTCAGGTTAAGAACTTTGCTTCAGGATGAGAACAGAAATCGTGCTCCAGCGGCGCAGCAGCAGCAGGAGGCCCCATTAGCTAAAGTGGTGCTTCAGGTTAAGAACAGTTTCAGGTTAAGAACAGACCTCTGGAACGAAGAATGGCTGTAGAGCAGCCATTCTCAACCCGTGGATCCCCAGATGTTGTTGAACTACAACTCCCATCACCCCTAGCTAGCAAGGCCAGAGCTCAGGGGTGATGGGAGTTGTAGTCCAACAACATCTGGGGACCCACAGGTTGAGAACCGCTGCTGTAGAGGGAAGTGAGGGGCAGACAGGGCTCACCCATCTAGGAGAAGGAAAACTCTCATCCTCAAACTCCGCTGCCTTGCGGGACATCTTCAGGAGAAGAAAAGGTTAAGGAGGAAACGCTATTTGTTGTTATTTAGTTGTTTAGTCATGTCCAACTCTTCGTGGCCCCATGGACCAGAGCACACCAGGCACTCCTGTCTTCCACTGCCTCCCGCTGTTTGGTCAAACTCATGCTGGTAGCTTCGAGAACACTGTCCCACCATCTCGTCCTCCGCCGTCCCCTTCTCCTTGTGCCCTCCATCTTTCCCACATCAGGGTCTTTTCCAGGGAGTCTTCTCTTCTCCGGAGGTGGCCAAAGTCTTGGAGCCTCAGCTTCAGGATCTGTCCTTCCAGTGAGCACTCAGGGCTGATTTCTTTCAGAATGGAGAGGTTGGATCTTCTTGCAGTCCATGGGACTCTCAAGAGTCTCCTCCAGCACCAGAATTCAAAAGCATCCATTCTTTGGCGATCAGCCTTCTTTATGGTCCAGCTCTCACTTCCATACATCACTACTGGGAAAACCAGAGCTTTAACTATACAGACCTACAAATCTGGAATGGAGTCCCTAAGGCGATTGGATGAGGCCTTGTTCGCCTCCTTCCAGCAACTCCTGCAGCGAAACTGGTGCCAAGCATCCTACTCTGGTTTCATTTGGACCACACCTGCGAGGCGGAGAGGGCGGTCTTGTTGTCTGGGCAGCCCAGGACCTCCACACACCCTGCCCAGTCTTGCACCCCAAGGAGGTCACTTTGGGGCTGATGACGCAGTGGTTTGGCCTCACCCCGGAAGCGCACTCCATTGTCTCTCGAGACTGACGGTTGCCAACGACAGGAAGCAGATACAGACTCTGGCTCCGTCTAGCTCAGACCTGACTGGAGAAGCCATGAGGGATTTGAACCCGGGACCAGGTGCCCTATCCACTCAGCTACGATGTCCCTTCCTCAAAGGGGAAGACGCACGCAGGCATTGCGTAATGTGGAAAGGGGGCCTCCCGCCAGCCTCTGGGTTCTGGGTTGGGGGTGAGATTCTGACCTGGAGCGTGGACCCCTCTTCTGAGGCTCAGCCTTGCCTGCCCGATCGGCGGTTCGAGCCCCGACTCAGCCCCTTCCTCTCGCCTCCGCTCCCCCTGCGGGTGTGAAATTTACCCAGGCGCAGTCGAAATTAATATTTCATTAAAAAGCTTTTAATAATTAACGGCGGGGCCTCGTTATCTCCAGCAAAAAAAGAAAGAAAAGCGGGCGCCCCCGGGATGGAGCGATGATTAATTTTAAAGGAGACGTGGCCGTGCGGACGGGAGCCTTGAGCAGAGGCAGAAAGAAAGAAAGGCCTTTTCCGATCGATTGCTTTGCTTTGTTTCCCTTTGTGTTGTGTGTTGAATTGGGAACAGGAGGAAGTTAAGACCTAGGACCCTCGTACCTACGGGACCACCTCTCCTGGTACGCCCCATGGAGAGGTCCACAAATGACAACACCTTGGAGGTCCCAAGTCGCAAGGTGGTTAGATTGGTCTCAACTAGGGCCAGGGCCTTTTCAGCACTGGCCCCGACTTGGTGGAACGCTCTGTCCCAAGAGACCAGGGCCCTGCGGGACTTGACATCTTTCCGCAGGGCCTGCAAGACAGGGCTGTTCCGCCTGGCCTTTGGTTTGGACTCTGCCTGACCCTTACGTTTCCCTCCCCTTATGGTCTTGATTTATCAGCTATTTTAAAATGAGGCTGCATTTTAACCTGTATTTTAAATTGGTTTTTTCCCCTTCCCTCTCTTTTTCCCCTATTGTGTTTTTACTGTTATTTTATTTTATTGGTGTTAACCGCCCTGAGCCCGGCTCTGGCTGGGGAGGGCAGGGTATAAATAAAATTTATTATTATTATTATTATTAGGAGCAGCCTCTGCTGGAACCTGGTGCCTGCCAGATGTTGGGTGTGTTTTTTGGCGGGGAGGGAAGCCGGTTGGACTTGAAGCATGGAATCATAAAATCATAGAATTGGAAGGGACCCAGGGGTCATCTAGTCTAACCCCGCTGCGATGCAGGAATCTCAGCTAAAGCATCCATGACAGATGGCCCCCCCAACCTCTGCTTTCAAACCTCCATGGAAAGAGAGTCCATTACCTCCTGAAGGAATCCGTTTCACATCCAGAGGGGGAACCAGGATGGGTCGGAGGATGCTTAACAACCTGGGACCAGTTTACCTGCAAAGTCGCTTTGCCAAACGCAACTGCTTCGGTCGGCAGAATTGGCGCTGCTATGGGACCTTGTGATTCCCGTTTTCCGCATTTTTAAGAACCCGATCGCTTAGTGTGGCAGCGAGCAAGAGATCAAGCCCGCTAAAAACATGCTAAAAACATGAAGGAACTTTTCAGCACATGTGGTGGACCTGCCCCAAGGTGAAAGACTTCTGGGGAAAGATTTATAATGAATTGGAAAAAATGTTGGAATATACATTTATAAAGAAACCAGAGGCCTTTCTTCTCAGAATAACAGGTCTGGAATTGCCCAAGATGTTAAATTATTTTTGTATGCCACAACTGCTGCTTGAATTTTACTAGCTAAGAAGTGGAAAATGCAAGAACTACCAACTGTAGAAGAATGGCAGATGAAGATGGATTTTTCGGAGCTAGCCGACCTAAGCGGAAGAGTCCGCGACCAGAAGGAGGAGATGTATCAGGGAGAATGGACGAAATTTAATGACTATTTAGTTAAATACGTTAAGTTAAACTAATTGGAAATAGCTTGCAAGTACTAGATCGGCTTAGGATTTCATATAAGTTAAGTGCTGAATTAATAGGTTTAATCCTGAATTGAAAAGATAGAACGATGATAAGTGATTAAGTTAAGTTTATAAGAACTTTGATTTGGAAAACTGTTAAAAGGATATGCAATGAAATCCAACCAAGGGGAAGCAAGGAAGTCACTTAACAATGTTAAGAAGTGTAATTTTAATAAGGTTATGATTTATCTTTGTTTGCTTATTTGTTTGTCTGTTTATAATTTTGTGAAGTTGGAAGTTGCCCAGAGTGGATGGGCAATGCAGCCAGATGGGTGGGGTAAAAGTAATAAATTATTATTATTATTATTATTATTATTATTATTATTAGTGTTATGTACTGCAGTTCTCACCCTGGGCCAGCAGGGGGATACTGTAGATAGTTTTCACTCAAATCCGCATATGCAAATAAGGGATTGAAAGTGACGTTCAGTGATTGGATAGTTACAGAAAGTTGTTACAGTTGCATTGTAGTGGAGCTCTATATAAGCAGGCTGGCTGAACCCTTCAGTTCAGTTCTGTTCTGGCCTGTGAATAAACAAGAGCTGTTTGAAGAATCGCTGTGTGTTGTCTGAGATGTTCACCCACAACTTAACAATGATTATGATTATGATTATTAAAGACAAGCCTACTCAGATGCTTAGAAAGTTGAGGCAAATTGAATCTGTTGTTTTTTTTTAAGTAGGGATCTGAGGTATCAAAAGGTGTGTGTGTGTGTGTGTGTGTGTGTGTGTGTGTGTGTGTGGTTTCTCCTGAAAATCAGAATTATCAGAGTGGCCGGGGCAACCCAGCTGGACGGGCAGGATATACCGTATTTTTCACTCTATTGGATGCACCGGACCATAGGAGGGGGAGAATAGGGGGGGATTTTTTCCCTTGTTCTCCCCCTCAAAAATAAGGTGCGTTCAAGAGCAGGCCTTCCCGCTGCCCCCCAAGCTTCTGGGGCTGGCGGTGGGGGGAAGTGCTGCTTTCCCCCACCGCCAACCTCAAAGATCCCTGAAGCCTTTGGAGCGCAGCTGCACTCCAAAGGCTTGAGGCTTCGGGGACATCCTCTGTAGCCTCCACAGGGCAGCAGGATGCCTTCACCCCGCCGCCCTGCGGAGGCTTTGTGCAGCCCTCCCGAAGCTGGAACAGCGAGACAGAGGGCTGCGCAGTGCCCCGTCTCGCTGTTTTGGCTTCGGGGACAGCAGGCTGCTATCCGCAAGCCTTGGGAGCCCGGCTGCTGCCTGCTATCCGCAAGCCTTCTGAGCCCGGCGGGAACTCCCGCCGAGCTCCGCAGGCTTGCGAAGAGCTGCCCGAAGCCTGGGGTGCACAGCGCCGCGCTCCCCGGGCTTTGGGCTGCAGGCAGCTGTCCGCAAGACTGCAGAGCCTGGCGGGAACTCCCGCCGGGCTCCGTAGGCTTGCAGAGAACTTCCTGAAGCCTGGAACGCGAGAGGGGTCGGTGCGCACCGACCCCTCTTGTTCTCCAGGCTTCAGCGAAAGCCTGCATTCGCTCCATAGGACACACACACTTTCCCCCTTCATTTTTGGAGGGGGAAAAGTGCGTCCTATAGAGCGAAAAATACGGTAAATAATACGAATATTATATGATTATTATTATTATAAAAAAGAAATATGTGTGTGTCTGCACACGCACCTCGTTTCTCCCAAACCAGCCTCGATCCGGATTGAGAAAAAGCAACGACCCGACTGTGTTATAAGACGTACGCAGCCTAAATTTACCGTATTTTCTGCTCTATAGGACGCACCGGACCATAGGACGCACCTTGTTTTAGAGGGGGAGAAAAAGAAAAAAAAAATCCCCCTCTCTGCTCAGCACCCCTTCAGCGAAGCGGCAGGAGAAACGGAGCCCCTTCTATTTCTCCTCCCGCTTGGCTGAAGGGGCGCTGTGCAGCTCTCCCTCTCTGCTGAAGCCAGGAGAGTCTTGCTCTCCTGGCTTCAGTAAAAGGAACCCGAAGCCTGCGGAGCGCAGCGGGAACTCGCACTGCGCTCCGAAGGCTTCAGGCGGCCATCCCTGAAGCCTGGAGAGCGAGAGGGGTCAGTGCGCACCGACCCCTCTTGCTCTCCAGGCTTCAGCGAAAGTAAAGCAAAGCCTCCGGAGCGCGGAGGGAGCGCTCCCTCTGCGCTTCGGAGTCTTCGCGTTGCTATCGCTGAAGCCAAGGGCCTGCATTCGCTCCATAGGACACACACACATTTACCCTTCATTTTTGGAGGGGAAAAGTGCGTCCTATGGAGCGAAAAATACGGTACGCCGGCTGCAGGTGGATCGGCCTGCACTAAATCACTCCTTTCCCCCTAGACGCTCGTCCTCTTCTTCCTCCTCCTGACACGGCTTTTTTCTTTCTTTCCTTCCTTCCCCTCGGCAGGATTCATGAGCACTGGCGACCAGTCCGCCAAAGGAAACTACGGGATCCTTGATCAGATCCAGGCCCTGCGGTGGCTGAACGAGAACATCGGGCATTTTGGGGGCGACCCGGAACGGATCACCATCTTCGGCTCGGGAGCCGGGGCCTCGTGCGTCAACCTCCTCATCTTATCCCACCACTCGGAAGGTAGCGCTCGGCTCGTTCGGCGTTATGGTGGCGGGTTGGCAGGGTTTTTTGGGTGGTGGGGGACGATCCCGCGCACGAGAAACTGGCGTAAAGCGAAGCGAGCTAAGGCAGCACAGTTTTGCACCCGATCCGAACCACATTCGGCAACAGGGGCCGCCGTTTTGCCTAAACCTGGCAGAGGGGAAATAAATAATAATAATAATAATAATAATAATAATAATAATAATAATTTATTATTTATACCCCGCCCATCTGGCTGGGTTTCCCCAGCCACTCTGGGTGGCTTCCAACACAATATTAAAATGCAGTAATGCATCAAACGTTAAAAGCTTCCCTAAACAGGGCTGCTTTCAAATAAACATTTGAAATAGTTATTTACCCGTGTGGCCAAAACTGAACAGGATCCGGCCTAAGTACCCCCAGTCTGGTCCCGCCCCACGGAACACCCCCTTTGGGGGGGACTTAGGCCCCAGTCTCCGCTCATCCAGCTTTGGCTGAGCTGGGCATGAGGCAGGGCCTTCTCGGTGGTGGCTCCTCCCAGACCTTGGGACTCCCTCCCTCGAGAAGCCAGACAGGCTCCCTCCTGGTTGTCCTTCTGCCAGCAGGCAAAGACTTTTTCATTCCCACAGGCCTTTGGGGACTGACATCATCATCATCATCATTACTATTATTATTTTAATTTTACATTTCAAAATAAACATTGTACAAACGTTAAAATATCAAATGACTTCCCTTCTTCTCCTTCCATGGCTCATTTTACGTATCATACATTCCTGAATATTTTACTATAACCCTTCAAATCAGTTTTCCACTTTTACAGCCATCAAAAATTACCGTATTTTTCCGTGTATAAGACGCCCCCATGTATAAGACGTCCCCTATTTTTGCGGACTCCAAATTAAGAAAACACCCCACAGCACTATCCGTGTATAAGACGAGCCCCAATTTTAAGCCTAATTTTTTGGTCTTATACACGGGAAAATACGGTATTCACTCTGTTGAATTTATCATAGTGCTGCCAGCATTGTCAGCTGTGTACAGTTATTTTCCATATATTCAATAAATGTTTTCCACCCCTCTTTAAATATATGTTCTTCTTGCTCTCTTATTCTATGATGCCAATTTTCTTTACTTGGGACCTCATTCACTTTCCATTTTAGGGCTAACAAAACACAGGCTGCAGTTGTTGCATACATAATTAACTTTTCCGACACCTAGGAATTTCTGTCTGGGTTATTCCCAACATCTGGGACGCGGGTGGCGCTGTGGGTTAAACCACAGAGCCTAGGACTTGCCGATCAGAAGGTCGGCGGTTCAAATCCCCGCAATGACGGGGTGAGCTCCTGTTGCTCGGTCCCAGCTCCTGCCCACCTGGCAGTTCGAAAGCACGTCAAAAGTGCAAGTAGATAAATAGGTCGTGCTCCGGCGGGAAGGTAAACGGCGTTTCCGTGCGCTGCTCTGGTTCGCCAGAAGCGGCTTAGTCCTGCTGGCCACATGACCCGGAAGCTGTACGCCGGCTCCCTCGGCCAGTAAAGCGAGATGAGCGCCGCAACCCCAGAGTAGGCCACAACTGGACCTAATGGTCAGGGGTCCCTTTACCTTTTTATTCCCAACAAAAAGGACTCTGGGTTCTTTGTGGGGGGGGGGAGTAGTTTTAAACATTTTTTTCAATTCATTATAAATTATTTCTCAATATACTTTTACCCTTTTACAATTCCACCATATATGAAAGAATGTTCCATCTGCTTCTTTGCATCTCCAGCACTTATCTGATTCTGTTTTATAAATCTTAGCCAACCTACTCGGAGTTTGGTACCATCTATGAATCATTTTCAAATAATTCTCTTTCAATAAATAACATGCAGTAAATTTCAGGTCACTTTTCCAAAGTTTCTCCCAGAGGTTAAGATCTACATTGTGTCCTATATCTATTGCCCAGTGTCTCATTGAAACTTTAACTAGCTCGTCTTTTGTTTCCCATTCTAATAAAAAATATTACATTTTAGGCAGAAGTTTATCCTTGTTTTGTAAGAATTCTTTTTTCAAATTGTGAGCTTTGATCCAGAAATCAATTCTTTCTATCTAATTTAAACATGTCATATATCTGGTGATATTAACTCTCTTAATTGTAATTGCTTCAGTGGGAGATAACCGCAAATGTGTTTTTCTTTCCAGCAGTTTTTTTATATTTCTCCCAGACTCTATATAGATACTTCCTAAGATTGTGGTTCAAAAAACTCTCATAGATTTTAGCCTTCCCATGCCAAAGACATGCATGCCAGCTGAATTTTAAATCATGACCTTCTAAATCTAGAATGTCTGCATTGTCCAATACAATCCATTCTTTTAACCAACACAAACAAGCTGCCTCATAATATATTTGCATATCTGACACTTATCTGAAATAATATTATTTATTAATATATTTGCAGATTGATCAGTATAGATTGCTTTAATTCCCGCTACGAAAGAATTACCTATTTCTCTAAAACCTTGATCATAAATGACCATGAAATATTATCAAAAGCTTTCTCCACATCTAGAAAGATTAGCGTGGCCTATTTTTCATTTATTGCTTCCAGATACTCTCTTAAATTAATTACATTTCTTATATTGTCTTTCTTTTGTCGGCCTGGTATAAAACCCAACCTGTTCTCTGTGGACTGCCTCAGTTAATGTCCTTTTCGATCTATTAGCCAAGATTGTAGCAAATAGTTTGCAGTCAATCATGAAATAGGTCTGTAATTTTTGGTCTTTGTTAAGTCGCTGTCTTATTTGGGGATCAAAGTAACGAATGCATCTTTCCATGAGGCTGGGACTACTCCCATCACCAAAATTCTGCTCATGCTGTCCTTAAGTGGTTTTATAAGTGCATCCTGAATCCTTTTATAATAAATTGCAATAAGTCCACCTGGCCCTGGTGCTTTTCCCATCTTCATTCGATTTATTGCCATTTGCAGTTCCGATAAAGATATGGGTGTATTCAGAATTTGCCGGTTTTCCTTAGATACTCCGGGGTATGTGACAGTCACTTAAGAATCCATTTTCTTAAAGTTCTCCTTCTCACAACGGTATAATAAACCCCCCCCCAAAGCACTTTCCTTAACTCTTTTGGGCTAGTCAAATGCTTATCCTCATCAACAATATTATTTATTGTCTTTCTTTTTTGAGTTTCCATGCTAATAATTTACCAGTTTATTAGCAAATTCGAAAATTTTCTGTTTCATTAATTTAATTTTCATCTCAATCTCTTGATTAACTAACACCAAAAATTGTGCTTGCAGGAGTTTAATTACTTGACATACATCTTTCTCCTTTGGTTTTGCAATTAACTCCTTCTCTTTATTCAGTTGAGCATCTAATATCTCTTGTTTCTTTTCCCCCCCTTTCTCTTTTTTGAAAAGCATTTTGTTGAATTAGGAAGCCTCTCATCACTGCCTTACTGGCATCTCACACTACACTTAAATCAGGTCAAATCAGGTCAAAAAATTATTGTAGAGAGTGTTGACCCTTACTTACAGTTTGTTCATTTTGCAACACCACATCGTTTAACCTCCACCTAAACGAAGATCATTTCTCACCTGTTATTGTCATCAAGATGGCATTGTGATCAGATAGTGTCTTAGGTTGAATTTCTACCCTTTGTACCCTGGTTGTTAATTCTTTCGAAGCCCGGCTGCTAAGGAGTCACAGAAATGGAGACTGTGCTGAGCAAAGTCAACTCAAACTCCAAGTGCTTGCTTGAATATAGAAGCATGCATTATTATGAGAATCGCTTGAGCAGCTTTGCATGCTGGCCTTTTAAAGAGAACTGCAAGTGTACTCCTGAAAGTATGGCCAGGGCTGGCTTGATCCACTGTCCAGGAGCAAATGAACCTGACCTGGCAAAGTGTTTCTTCTGCTTAATAGAGTTGGAGGGCTGGGAGCCAGATCACGAGCCGGAGACTCTTGTGGGTTTTTGTCCCTTTCTAAGAGTTTTGACGACCTGACAGTTGAAGAATACTACGAACTAGAGATGGAGCGGGTCAGGATCTTTCTTAGCAAAACTGGGCAAAGTGTAATAAATGCCTATGAGAAAGAAGTGGCAGCAACCAGGCAGCGTCTCGTGGACCATTTTGTCAACAAATACCAGTATGCCCCAGAACCTGACCCAGCCACTCCTGCTGCAACAGAGAACGACATGCCAACCACCACGTAGAAAGAAAATGGGCCACCATGAAGACAAGGGGAGGTTGTTGTATTGAGTGTGATGCAAGTAGTGTAGTGCATACCTGGGGGAGGCTTTCGGGTGGACAATATGGGATGGGGGGGTCACAGGGGATCTGTCAGTACTGCATCTTGTGTAATACTGTTCTGTATGAAACCAATAACCAAAAGCTGAAGTATTTTTTTCGACTTATGGAAGGCATAAGGAGGGCATTGTTAAATAAAGACTTTTGCATAAATAAAAAAAATTCTTTCGAAGCCCATAAACAGTCTATTCTGCGTGAAGAATTGTTTGTGTTTGAGAAAAAAGCAGATTGACGTTCCAATGGATGTTTAAGTCGCCATAGGTCAATTGCCATATTTTTTCGTGTATAACACGCCCCCATGTATAAGACCCCCTCTATTTGGGGGGGACTCAAAATTAAGAAAATGGGGGGATATTGTCAAGAGTTGTTGAGCTTTTGGGGGGGATTGCTCACCCGACGCTGACAATTGCACACATCGCAGAAGACACCGATCAACTGCCCAATCACCGCCGGCAGCTGCCAATCAACCACCCAGTTGACGCAACGGCAGCCAATCGCCAACAGCTCTTCACACAGCCACCAATCACCCGCCCTATCGCCGCTGAGAATCTCGTGCTCGCGGCTGCAACCAGTCGCCCGTCACCCCTCAGCACTACTCATGTATAACACAAGCCCAAATTTTAAGCATAGTTTTAAAATAAAAAACCCTTGTGTTATACACAGAAAAATACGGTAAGTCAAAATTGGACACCATGTTGAAAAAAAGACATTTGGTAGTTTCCCTTCTTTTGAATTTATTTTCAGTACAGTTCTGTCTAAGTCAAGGGAAACAACAGCGTTAAAAGCACCCATCATCATCATTTTAGTATCACACAGATCAAACAATTTTTCTTCCGGATTTTTAAAAATCAGTTTTCCGTTCATTGGGGACATAAATTCCCACTACAGTAACTGGTTCTCCACCTAGTCTCACTTCAATAGCCATCATTCTGCCTTCTTCATCTTTAAAGGTGAATTTAGGATACATCATCACTCCTCTCTTTTTAGTTTTATCAGAATAGATAAACTCTTGTCCCAGACCTTTATTTATTAGTAATTTTCTATGTTGTCTTTTCATATGTGTCTCCTGTAAGCGAATGATGTCTAATTTCTGCTTTGTCAAGATGTGCGCTATTTTATTCCTTTTCGTTTTGTTATTTAGTCCATTTCCATTCCATGAAAGGATTCAAAGATCCGTCTTAAATCAGGGGTATCCAAACTTTTTTCAAAGAGGGCCAGGTTTGATGAAATGAACATGCATGAGGGCCGACCAGAGCTTTTTTTAGGATTTTACCCCGGGAAATAAACAAGGGCCGGATTAAACCGACCAGTGGGCTGGATTAGGCCCCCGAACCACACTTTGGACATGCCTGATCTTAAATTATGCTGTGTGTGTGTAATAAATATACATACAGACAGACAGACACACAGCCAAACCTTGGTTTTTGATTGTCTCTGATGCCAAACGTTTTGGCTCCTAATTGTCGAAAACCCGGAAGTAAGTGTTCTGGTTTTTGAATGCTTTTCGGAAGCCAAACATCCAACGCGGCAGACAAGCAGCTTCCGATTGGCTCTTCCGATTCCAAAAGCCAATCAGAAGCCATGCCTCGGAAATCAAATGTTTCAGAAGTTGAACGTCCTTTTGGAACGGATTACGTTTGACTTTCGAGGTGCCACCGTGTGTGTATATATCTCACAATTCCAGTTTACCTTCTAGCCCCTTCCCTCTTTACTTTTTGTCCTCTTCTTCCTTCTCTTCCTCTTCAGTCAGCAGGAAGGAAGGACAAAGCAAAATAATCCCAATTAGATTATGCAGGAATCCACCAGTTTTTTAAAAAATATATAGAAATTCACAATCCATAAAGCGTATCCCACTCAGCCAAAATCCAAGCAGGAAATTATATTTATATATTTGAGTGTGCCCTCCACTCCATAAAAGAAAAAAACAAATTCAGAAGCCAAGAGAGAAGAGCAAAAAACTCTTCAGGAATCGCTGATAAATCCTTGCAGTAATCTAGGGGGTATACACTCAACTGCTGTAAGTTTAATAGCAATGGGGGGAAATAAAATATGCCGGGGGGGAGGACAATCAAACAAGCAATCAATCAATCAACTGATTTAAGTGTAGTGTGGGATGCCAGTATGGCAGTGATGAGAGGCTTCCTAATTCAACAAAATGCTTTTCAAAAAAGAGAAAGAGGCACGTTTGTTCATTTTCTCCATTGACTTTGCAGTGCACACTTTGAGCCTCGGTTGTCGAACATCTTGGAAGTCGAACGGTCTCTGGAACAGATTACGTTCGACAACCGAGGTTCCACTGTAATAATAATCATCATCATGATACGTCCCAATGGCTTCTCCAGCCATTCCCTTCTCCTCTTGACCGCTGACTGTCCTTTTCCTTCCAGGTCTTTTCCAGAAAGCCATCGCGCAGAGCGGCACAGCCATCTCCAGCTGGTCGGTCAACTACCAGCCCCTCAAGTACACCCGCATGCTGGCCTCCAAAGTGGGCTGCGACCACATGGACACGAGCGACACGGTGGAGTGCCTGAGGCGCAAGGCCTACCGGGAGCTGGTAGACCAGGACATCCAGCCGGCCCGTTACCACATCGCTTTTGGTCCCGTGGTGGACGGGGACGTGGTCCCGGACGACCCGGAGATCCTGATGCAGCAGGGTGAGTTCCTCAACTACGACATCCTCATCGGCGTCAACCAGGGGGAGGGCCTTAAGTTCGTGGAGGACTCCATGGAAAGCGAGGACGGCATCTCGGCCAGCTACTTCGACTTCACCATCTCCAACTTCGTGGACAACCTCTACGGCTACCCGGAGGGCAAGGACATCCTTCGCGAGACCATCAAGTTCATGTACACGGACTGGGCGGACCGGGACAATGGCGAGATGCGCCGCAAGACCCTCCTGGCCCTCTTCACCGACCACCAGTGGGTGGCGCCGGCCGTGGCCACCGCCAAGCTTCACGCAGAGTACCAGTCGCCCGTGTACTTCTACACCTTCTACCACCACTGCCAGACGGACACGCGCCCCGAGTGGGCGGACGCGGCCCACGGGGACGAGATCCCCTACGTCTTCGGGGTGCCCATGATCGGCGCCACCGACCTCTTCCCCTGCAACTTCTCCAAGAACGACGTCATGCTCAGCGCCGTCGTCATGACCTACTGGACCAACTTTGCCAAGACGGGGTGAGACGATTGTGCGAATGGATTGGTGCACTAGGAGAAGATAGGTTCTTGGCTATTTTTCTTCCTTGGTGAGATCAGCAGAGCACCGCCCTTTGCAGCTTTAAAACTTGGAAGCTGATTTAACCTCCAAGAAATAATAATCCAGGATGCTTTAAGGCAGACTGGATCCCCCCCATTATTCCCTTTCTCCCACTTAAAAATAACCATCTCTCACACACCTTGTTTTGTGAAGATGTAAAAGTAGCATTTACTTACATAATCCAGATCTCTGAGCAGCTAGGCAAAATGTTGTCTGAAGCGCGTATTGTGACATCAGTTTCATAATTTTTGACCTGGCAATATACAGTGGTGCCTCGCAAGACGAAAATAATCCGTTCCGCGAGTCTCTGCGTCTAGCGGTTTTTTCGTCTTGCGAAGCAACCCTATTAGCGGTTTAGCGCCTTAGCAGCTATTAAAGGCTTAGTGGCTTAGCGGCTAAAAGGCTATTAGCGGCTTAGCGGCTTAGAAAAAGGGGGGGCGAAAAAAATCGCAAGACTCGCAAGACGCTTTCGTCTTGCGAAGCAAGCCCATAGGGAAAATCGTCTTGCGAAGCAACTCAAAAATGGAAAACCCTTTCGACTAGCGGATTTTTCGTCTTGCGAGGCATTCGTCTTGCGGGGCACCACTGTATTGCGAATCAGGACGTGTGTGTTATGCAAAAATAAAAATGTGGGGGAAACCGCAATGCCAGCCAATGCTTCTCTCAATTCCTGCAGCCCCTCTTGACTCTGGCAGCTCAGCTGTCCCCTGACTCCTGCGGGGGCAGCGAATCACAAGAGCAGCCACCAGCAAAAACCACAGTGAACTTTTTGTTTCTTTTGTGAGATAAAGTGAAGGCGTAGAGCAGGGGTCAGCAAGCTTTTTCAGCAGGGGACCGGTCCACTGTCCCTCAGACCTTGTGGGGGGCTGGACTATATTGGGGGGGGGTGAATGCATTCCTATGCCCCACAAATAACCCAGAGATGCATTTTAAATAAAAAGACACATTCTACTCATGTAAAAACACACTGATTCCTGGACCGTCCGCAGGTCAGATTTAGAAGGCGATTGGGCCAGATCTGGCCCCCAGGCCTTAGGTTGCCTACCCATGTGCTAAGCTACTGAAGGTAATGGGGCCCTTTCTATGTCCAGCTGTCCTTTGTCAACAACAAATTGTCGCTGTTTTTTGTGTTGAAGATATGCTATATGCTAATTGATGGACCGAATAGGTATCTCAGGCCATTTGCGCATGTTGCCCTGCAACCAGTCCATGCAGAATGTAGGCACCCTATATATAGAAAGGAGAAAGCCTGTGATATTTTAGGGAGCAGGCTAGCAGGTGGGGCCGGATTTAGAAGGCGATTGGGCCAAATCTGGCCCCCAGGCCTTAGTATGCCCACCCATGGTATATAGAGTAATGATGATAAGCAACATAAATTGAAATTTTGAGGGAACCAAGGAAGGAGGGAGGGAGTGAAAGTTGTAGGTGGAATGATCAATTGCTAAAGTTGTTCCCTTGTTTTTTTGTTAAAATTTATAAATGAAAGAATTTCGAAAAGCATTTTAATTAACGCAAATGATGACGGTGATGATGATCTCCTTCTCCTCTCTCCCTTTCCGCAGGGACCCCAACCAGCCGGTGCCGCAGGACACCAAGTTCATCCACACGAAGCCCAACCGCTTTGAGGAGGTGGTGTGGACCAAGTTCAACACGAAGGACAAGCAGTACCTCCACATCGGCCTGAAGCCCCGGGTGCGAGACAACTACCGCGCCAACAAGGTGGCCTTCTGGCTGGAGCTGGTCCCGCACCTTCACAACCTCCACGAGCCGCCCTACACCTCCACCACCACCCGCATCCCGCCTTACGTCACCCGCTGGCCCACCACCCGCGTGGGGCCCAGCACCACCCGCCGGCCCATCCCCACCCTGCCGCCGGACGAGGACGACGTGGTCCGCCCCCAGCGCTACGTCCCCTTCCCGGGCGACTCGCGGGACTACTCCACCGAGCTGAGCGTCACGGTGGCCGTGGGGGCCTCGCTCCTCTTCCTCAACATCCTGGCCTTCGCCGCCCTATACTACAAGCGGGACAAGCGCCACGAACTGCGCAGCGGGCGCCGGCTCAGCCCCCAGCGCAACGCGGCCAACGACCTGGTGCACGGCGGCCAGGAGGAGGAGATCATGTCGCTGCAGATCAAGCACTCGGAGCACGACGCCCACGACTTGGAGCCACTGCGGCCCCACGAGATCCTGCGCCCCGCCTGCCCCCCCGACTACACCCTAGCGCTGCGGCGCGCCCCTGACGACGTACCCCTGATGACCCCTAACACCATCACGATGATCCCCAGCACTATCACGGGCATGCAGGCCCTTCACCCTTTCAACACCTTCCCCACCGGACACAACAACACCTTGCCCCACCCTCACTCTACCACCCGCGTATAGTCGCCCTCCCCTCCGTGCCCCTCGGCCGCCCTGGCCCGCCCCGCTCGGGCAAAGAGCGGGCCACCTTTCCTGTGGACGGGTCTTTTGTACAACGTTGCGGGGGGAGGGGGGTCTAGCAGACGGAGGGGTCAGGCGATTCAGAGGTCCGCCCGTCTGTCCCCACGGCACACGGCACGGACGGGCTGGCAACGGTTCTCCGCCCTGCTTGGGTCCCGACACCCTTTGGCGACACCCGCGGCATGGCATGGCAGCAGAGGAGGGCGGCACCGGCGATCTCGCTTCCTTTTGGGGCGCTGGGGGTTCTTTCCGGCACGAGGCGAAGAAGCGGGTCGCCTTCCCACCCTCGTTTTCCGGACGGGCGGCGGAAGAGCGGCCGTGGTTTTCGCCGGCGCTCCCGGGAGGAAGATTGGCCTGCCGTTCCTCGTCCATCTGGGTCCGGGCGGCAAAGGCATCCTTTGTCCTTCCGGGCGGAGATAAGGGAAGTCTGACTCGCAGGGAAAGGGAGTCCCCGCCGTGGCTGAGATTGACAAAAGAAGGCAGTCCCTCTGCCCCCAGGGGGGTCGGCAACGCCACTCAAAGCTGTCGGCTCGGCTTGGATGGACGGACGGACGGTGGAGAGGAGGGGTGGGAGGGTCAAAGGTCAGAGAGAGGGGAGAAAGAGAGAGAGGAGCCGGTTCGCTTTGGCGCAACCTCTCTCTTGGTGGTGAAGGTGCCCTGTGGTCCGCTCAGCGTCAAATTCCCAGTGCTGGATTGCTGCGGAGGGAGCAGCCGGTCAGCCCAGACAAATTCTGGGCTGAGAGAGGTTTGCTAGAGATCCTGCCCCCTTTCTTTCACCCCCCCTTATTTTTCCTTTTTCGAGTCTGTCTGGCGGAGGTGGAGAGAGAGAAGGGAAGGAGACCTGGAGGTGTGTGTGTCCAGAGTGCAGAAGCAGGGGCGCGTTCCTCCCCAAGGCAGTGGTCCCAGCGATGGCTGGTTCACGGCTGCCGAAAAAGGGTCGCCCTGCTGGAACGAGCAGTGACCTCTGCCTCTCTTCGCCGTTGGGGGGGGGTACTTGTCAAAATCCCAGTGCCTTCCTTGCACAATTTGCAGAGGGTTAGTTGACCCTTTCTCGTCCGCGGGGGGCAGGGCCGCCAATTTGCTGCCCCCACCTCCCTCCAATTTGGTGCAAGAGCTAAAGCTTTGCCCAGAATCACTAGGTGTTGTTGTTTTTTTGGGTGGGTGGGTGGGACTTGACAGACAGTGTGGGGATGTGGAGCATCTAGAAGGGAACCCAGAGAGAGGGGGTTCAAAGCGGGGTGGGGGTGGGCAGGCAGCATGCGCCAACTAGCTTGTTCCCAAGGCGAAATTTTTGAATGCAACAACTGGAAATCCGCTTTCCCCCCTGAAGGGTCCCCCCCCGAAGGGTGTGACTACAAGATTTGGGGAGGAGGGGGGAGCTGTTAAGAAAACCTACAAAGGTACACTGCATGTTCCAGGCTTTATTTTTTTAATTTTTAAAGATCTGAGCAAGGAAACGAAGGAGTGGCGATCGCGGGGCGTGGGGTGTCAGAGTTTCAGTCTCTTTGGGATGGGGGAGCATCGCTTACCTTTTGCTTCGGAGAACCCAGACCTCCCCCCAGATCATTTCTCCCCCCACAACCCCTCTTCTATGGCAGTGGGGGGAGGCTCCCCTCCCTTCCTGAACACCCTCCTCGCGAGCTTCTGAACTTTCGCGGCTTTTCGGGTGGGATTCAGCCACGCATGGGCGCAAAATTCACTTTGTGCAGATCTAATTGGCCGGGAGGTCTTGTGCCAACATACCCATTTCTCCCCCCCCCCCCACACAAATGTCATAAAAACAAACTCGCGGGCATCCGCTGAAACTGGGTGTCGTAGGATTCAGGGCAGGCGAAAGCCCGTCATGGTGCGACACAGAGTTAAACTCTGGAACTCCCTGCCACAGTGGCCATTTCTCAGGGCTTTAAAAGAGAATGAGGCAAATTTGTGTGCTCTGACTTCACGGAGACCGTGATGCTTCTAGATTTTACTTGCTGGAAACCACAGGAGGGGAGAAGGCTCTTGGGCTCGGGTCTCGCTCGTGCGTTTACCATCATGTGCAAAATGCGCCCGAAAATGAGGGAGGCCACCCACCCATTCTCTTGACCCATGCTTTGATTTTATCGTCTATTGGTTAATTCTCCCGGGTCCCAGGAGGTTCTCTCGCCATTCTGCAGCCGCGCCTCGCAATGATCCGATCGCACCCGCAGAGGAATTGATGCTCGGTTAAGCAAAACCTCTATTTTGGATTTTTCGCGCATCTGATAAGATCCAGTTCAGAGAGCAAGATCAGATGTCCGCAAAGCACAGCCGTGGAACAGCGGGAAAGCCCTCGAACCTGATCGGTCGGGACACAGTGCGATCAAAATATGGGTCAAACAAAAGTGGGTGAAGCCCACAAAATCCACATTTAGTGTGATTGATTTGCCCCTGGAGGTGCGTACCCGAGCAGCCTACATTCAGGTGTGATTTTTTAACCTGTCCATTCTCCCTGTTTCACACAATTTGCTGTTTTAAGCAACCTCGCCCCTGTAGCTATTCGACATCAAAAATGCCCGTTTAAAAATAAATAAATCACAGAAAGCTTGTAAGGAGCGCTTTTAAAGAGGTGACCTTTCTGGATTTTTGAAGGACAGGGAATCTCTGGTTTTTAGCAGGGTGGGGAGTTTGGGACAGCAGTTGTTTCCAGTGAACAATGTGTGGGTCCTTGCTGTGACGCAATGCCATCCAATTTCCTTGCAAACAGTTCCTCTGTAAATAAATTGGCACCAAGGCACAAGAAACAGGTCACCCGGAATCACCCTGTTTCTCTGCATAAAATTTCTGTAAAGTGGGTGCTTCCAGGTGGGTCCTTATTCCAGGATCTGTGGGTTGCTGTTTTGCAAGTGCAATTTTGTTTTGTTTCGCACAAGCCGCAGGACGTTTTTGGCGTCGGGAACGCCAGCCCGTTCGCCCTCCCCTTTTCCTTTTTCTGTGAAGCATCCAGCAAGTTAAAAAAAACAGCCGCGGTTGCCAGTGAAGGAATGAACGACGCTAAGCCCCAGCTTGGTCCATCGAGAGCTGCAAATTTAAATTGGTGTGAAACAGGTTTAAAAGTTACGCTTCTCCCCCTCCAAAGAACGTCGTTTGGCAAAAAGTGCAGAGTGTGCTTTTGTTAGTGACTTGCAGCCTTTTCCTACCGGACGGCGGCTACTCCGGTTCGCAGAATTGGGACAGCTGGAAGGGAACCCCAAAGTCATCTAGCCCAACGCCTTGCGATGCAGGCTCCTCATTCCAGAGACAAGGCAGTTGCGATGGGTTTAGACGTGCGCCTCCTCCTTTGCAAACCTGTTCCCCCCTTGTTCCTTCCAGGAAGGCCCAACTTTCCTTCCCTCTTTGGGCTAGGTTTTCCGTGCACGACGCAGCTGGGATCCGACCTCTCTCCTCCTAGAGCGAAATGAAGTTTTGGATTTCTTCCCTCTAGTTACGTCTGGGTTGGCAACTGACCCAAGGAGCAGGTGGGATAGCAGGGTGAGGCCATGAAACAGCACCCTTCAAGAGAGAAGCTCTAGCACAGAAAACCGAGTCGAAATGTTCAAAGCCCTTCTTCGTGCAGTGCCGAGTTAGACTACGGAACTCCGTGCCACCAGAGGCAGAGATGCTTCCGGAAACCAGGGGAATGCTTTCTGTTCACATCCGGTTGGCCACTGCGAGGATGGGCCGTTGGCCTGATCCTGTCCCCCAAATCCACCCCGTTTGCCCTGCATAAGCTCCGCCTGTCCATCGAACTCTGCCCTCGATCGATGCCCACCTCCGCAGAACTGAGCCTTCTTCCCCGCGTGCCTCTCTCCCCGTAATACGCAGCTTGGCTAGCTTGCATGAGCCAGCTCTTGTTTCCTCCGAAGGCGCTCCTTTTCTGTGTGTGCCTTTTCCTCTTTGCTTGGGGGCCGGGTCGTGTAGGTTGAAGGGGAAGGGAGGGCCGGGGGCTCTTTCTCAGATAGGGGTGGCGCAGGGGCGAAGTCTAAAGGGCGTGCCGCCGCCGCCCCCCGACCCGGCGACCCTTCGTTCCCGACTTCCGTCTCCCATCCCCGCCGTGCAATATGGACCCATCTATGCACCCACGCGCACTTCCAGTGATCTCCTGGGATCCCCAGGAAGATTCCTCGCCCCCTGCTCGGCCGTAGTATGCTCTTTCTAGAGCGACCTCCTACTTGCTGGCTCCAGTAAAGATGGGGGATCGTAGAAGAATAGGATTGTAGACTTGGAAGGGACCCCCAAAGGTCATCCAGTCCAACCTCTGCAATGCATGAAAGGGAAATGTGATATTTTTGTTTTCAGAAGCACATCGTTCTCGGGTGGGTGTTTGGCTCTTGTTTTTTCCTTTCCCCTCCGTTTCTCTCGTGCCTCTGCCGTTCATTCTCATGGTTGGGGGCGTGTGGGGAGACCATTATTGTTTCCGGAATATTCCGACGACGACGACGAAAGAGGAAAGACGAAGGGGAACGGATGAAGGCCGGGTGGCGGGGAGGGGGAGGGCGGTTTTGGTTCTTAAGCCATTCTGAAGACTCCATCTTAACTTGGCGATGTTCCGAGTTGGTTTCCTTTTTCTAAAAAAAGAAAAGAATAAAAGAAGTTTATTATAAATATAAATAAATATATATATAGATATCTCCATTTTTTTAAAAAAGGAAAACAATTATTTTGTAAAAAAAAATGAACAAAAACAAAAATTTAAAATGATTAAATAGACGGGGCGGGCGGGAGGGCGGGGAACAAAAGCGAAATCTGTGCCAAACTCAGCAAACTTGGATGGGGAGCATATTTTTTTCGGGGTGGTTTGTTTGTTTGTTTGGGGGGGCTGTTCTCTTGGTTTTTTTTGCAAATATCGAGTTTCCTGGGACTCCTGTGAACAAAAAAAATAAAGTCTGTGCCAAGGAACGGAATGAAGTTCCAACATGGGGTGCCAACGCACCTCTGGAAAGAGCGATGTCAGCGCCTTACACTGTTGCCAAATGCCGAACCCCCCCCAAAAAAAACCCTTGCCCCTTTGTCCTTTTCACCCCCACGCACCCCAAAAGCGCCAACTGCAATATCCCGGATCTGTCCGCCGGTGGAGAAAAGCACAGGCCATTTTGTTTGGAGGTCCAAGATGGCAGCCCAGATGTTCTCCGCCGACCCAACATGGCCGCCTGAGGGACGACAACTACGGCGGCAGCTCTGAAACCGAAAAGTTGCCACGCGGGGCCTCCTCTCCGTTTGTTTCTGACGACGTCCTCCTTCCCGTTTGCCAAATCCAAGGCGGCCCTATTTGCTTTCCGAAAGCCAACCGACGTGGCCTCCTTGGGGGCGGCTCCGTCCCGCCGTTCAAGATGGCCGCCCGGGAAACGATGCCTCCGCCACCTCGTTTTCTAAAAAAAATCAAGTGCTGCCTCCGTCTGTCGGCTTCGCAGGCCGGCGCAAACCCGACTCAGAGGATTTATTCTTGCTAGGATGACGACGGCCATCGTTCTCGCCGTCCCCTTCCGACATTTCAAGATGGCCGCCCCCCTGTCCTTGTGGCCCGTTCAAGATGGCCGCCTTCCCACCGCCATGCGCCGCGACCCAAAATGGCTGCCAAGAACCTCGCCTCAGGCGGCGCAAGAAGGAGGGTCGGCCTCCCCTCCCGCCGCCATTGTTCCCCCACTTGCAAACTGGAGAGAAATCTATTTTTATGAGACTTTAGGTTTGGGGCCAGGAAGGGGTTGATTTGGGGGTTTAGCAGAAAAAAGCGAATTCTTTCCTGCACTGGGGGGCCACACCCACCCACGGCCGAGTCCTCTGGGCCCCCTCCCCGAACTTGCGGACTCTTGCCGCCCACCCCAGAAAAGATGGACCATTTCTCATGGAAGAGGGCGCAACTGAAATCAAAAACACAAATCCCAAGGTGGTGCTCTTCTTCTTCTTCTTCTTCCTCTTTTCTTTCTTTTTTTAATTTCGTCGGTTTGTTACGATCGAGACACACTGGTGGGTCGAAGCGCCTCTGGGGTGGGTTGCCGCCCCCCCCCTTCCAGCCTCCGAGAGAAGAGGGACTTGGGGTGCAATTTGGGGGGAGGCGGGGGTCCGAGCTGAGATGCTGTACACATTTTTAAACCTTGCAAGAAATGGAAAATGATATTGTAAATATATAAAAAAAAATGATTTAGCCGCTGGGTGTGCTTCTTGAGCTCTTGGGGGGCTGCGGTGGGGTAGGGTGGGGGCAAGACCCCGGGGCTTCAGCCTTGAAAAGAGCCTTCTGTAACCTGGGGCTGGCAGACTGCCTTGGACTACAAATCCCATCGTGCTGGGAGTTGTAGTCCCAAAGAGCCGGAGCTGGCAGGGGCTGATGGGAGTTGGAGTCCAGAACAGCTGGAGCTGGCAGGGGCTGATGGGAGTTGGAGTCTAAAACAGATGGAGCTGGCAGGGTCTGAAGGGAGTTGTAGTCCAAAACAGATGGAGCTGGCAGGGGCTGATGGGAGTTGGAGTCTAAAACAGATGGAATTGGCAAGGGCTGATGGGAGTTGTAGTCCAAAACAGATGGAGCTGGCGGGGCTGATGGGAGTTGGAGTCCAAAACAGATGTAATTTGCAGGGGCTGATGGGAACTGTAGTCCTAAACAACTTGACGGCTCCAAATGGCATAAGGCTGGTTAGAGTCTGGCTACGCCTTCCCAGGATGCTCTGCCTTGCACCATGTGCTCTACCAATAGGCATTGTGTGGCAGTGGCCAAAGGTAGCAGACGCTGTCGCCTCCCTTGTATCCGGCTGGATCCTAGATCTCGTCCCGGTTCACTCCAGTTAAAAGGATCTGGAACACATCACGGAAGAGAACCGACCCCCTTTCCGCAGGAAGCCCTGGAGCGCCATCATCGGCCCAAGTCGAAGTGCTGCTGGGCCTTGCAGACTAACCTGGCCTATCACAGAACCGTCGTGTTCTAAGGGTCCACATGTGGTCATCCAATCCAACCCTCTGCACTACAGGAGCCACAGCCAGGAGGCTTCCTGTTGGGTTGCTGCCTGGACCATAGCTGTCAACCGTCCCTTATTTGGTGGGACAGTCCCTTATCCCAATGCCATGTCCCGCTGCTGTCCCTTATTGATGATGTCCCTTAAATTTCCCGGGTTTCAAAGGAAGCAGCTCCTTTCCCTCCCTCCCTGCCGGCCAGGGAGGAGGGAGGCTCCAACTGGGTTGCTTGGCTGCGTTGCTCACCCAATAAGGAGTCTAAGAACGACTGGGGGGTGGAGCTTGCATGCCTTGTGCCAATCAAATCGGCCGCCTTGCCTGGGGACTCGCCTTTGCTCAGCGCTTCCCAGCGGAGAGGGGACGGTGGTTTTCCTTGCTGCGCCCCCTTTACCGGGTTGCTGCGCTGTGGGAACCACCGCTTGAGGCTTCGCTTGGCTGGTGGCTGGGCTTTCTGCCTTTGGCTCAGAAGTCAAACATACCTGTGGCCTGAAAATCCCTTATTTTGGCTGCTGATCCCTTATTTTCGAGGCTGCTGGTCCCTTATTTTCAAATCTGTTGACAGCTATGGCCTGGGTGTGCCCCGTGCCTCATCCACCCCGGTGCCTTCTGGGGGGGTGGGGTTGCCCCTCGTCTATAGGAGCCCTTGCCCCAAAGCACGGGACGAGGACACATGCTAGGAATGCAGAACGTCTGGGTTCGATCCCCAGTTAGGAAGCGAGTTAGACCACTGGGGTCCATCAGGAAGGCACACGCGGATTGGCAGCAAGAGCCCTCCAGGATTTCAGGCCCTACCTAGAGATTGGACCTTCTGCACTCCAAGCCGATGTCCCAGCACTGAGCGGCGACGGCCCTTCCCCATAAGGTGCCGGGTTCGAATCCTCCCTTATGCGACGTGGCCTGCAGGTCCTCCTCCTCACTCCCTGGGCATCAGCTAGCCATCTCCGCAGGGACCAGAGGCAGGGGGAGAAATCTGGACACCGTCAGCCGAGCCTGCTGTTCAAAGACGCCCCGTGGCTCATTTTAATTGGATTCTTCCCGGCACGGAGCGTAATAGAGCTTCCTTTGCCCAAACCGGCTTTGAGAGCACACTTTGGAGGCAGCACACAGAATCGTGGCTGAAAGGGACCCCCCAAAGGCCATCTAGTCCAACCCCAGGAAATGCAGGAACGTGACGGGTCAGGGCTCCTTCCCAGGCCCTGTTTCCTCGCTCCTCAACCCCACCCCAAATGCACACCGCTCCCTTGACGCCGAAACTGCCCACTAAGGGCCTGCGCACGCCTCACCCGAATCTGGATCACGACCCTTTCTTTCTGCCCCACATTTTCTGCCCTATAGATTCCCCACAGGGCCACTGCTGCAGCTCTCCTATTCGGATTTCCAAAGCTCTGAGAATCCCCGGGTTTATTGAATTCAGTGCATTTCATAAAATTTTCACACCGGCCAATTTTTACTTTCCTTATATTAAAGGAACAACAACGGCCAAAGCGGTTTGCAAAACACTAAGCTTACTGTTTAGAACTCTTTGGAGCATTCAAAAAAGGCTAAAATCAGCAAGAAACGGAAAGCTGGTTGAAACATACACACCGATGTTCTGCACATCTGGGTCCTCTCGCCTGGGCAAAAAATCCTTCCAAAAATGTACATCAAGTGGCAGGGAGTTCCAGAGGGTAGGGTATTATGGGGCAAGC